CTATTTTAATGCCTTTTATTTCATTTTCTCATCTTATCACATTGGCTAGGACTTCCAGCATTATATTGAAAAGGAGTGGACAAAGTGGCCACCCTTGTGTAGTACCAGTTTTTTTTTTTCTTTTTTGAGAGTTTTTTGTTTGTTTGTTTGTTTTGCTACAGGGCACGTGCGCTTGCCTGAAAGACAGAGAGAGACAGACAGACAGACAGACAGACAGAAAGTGAGAAATCACCCTCAGGGGGGATGGCCACACCACTTTCCCTTCTCCATTCTCCTCTCAGGATCTTGAGCATGCATGCACATGCACCTGGAGTGAGTTTAAGCCATCGGGTCCAGGACTTGAACCATGATCGACTACATGGGAGTCCAGTGACATAGCCGTTACACCAATTGCTGGTTCCTCTAGTACCAATTTTTATTCAGTATAATGTTGGCAATAGATTCTTCATAAATGGTTTTTATTATGCTGAGAAATGATCCTTTTATACCAATTTTGCTGAGAGTGTTAATCATGAGGGGATATTTTATTTTGTCATATGCTTTTTCTGCATCAACTGAAATGATCATATGGTTTTTATCTTTCTTTCTGTTAATATAGTGTATTATGTTTACGGTTTTGCATATATTGAATCACCCTTGCATCTCTGGGATAAAGCTTACCTGGGTCATAATGAATAATCTTTTTTATGTGTTGCTGGATACAATTTGCTAATATGTTGTTGAGGATTTTTGCATCTATATTCATCAGAGATATTGGTCTATAGTTTTACTTTCTTGTCATATCCTTACATGTTTTGGGAATGAGGGCGATGGGAGCTCTATAAAATGAATTTGGGAGGGTCCCTTCCTTTAGGATCTTTAGAAATAATTTGAGAAGAATGAGGTTAGTTCTTCTTCCACAGTTGCCCATTTATTTATTCTGATATCTTGGATTATAAGAATCTTCATGAGATCGTGGTCAACAACCGCATCACTTGGCTGTTTCATTACAGTGCTTTGTTCAGTGCTGTCGGAGAAGCACAGGTGTCCTTAGCGAGAGCTGTGAACATAATGGAATTGCATAATATTCTGGACATTGTAGCAGAACACAACCTGTGGTTGTTTGTGCTCAGCATGATCGGGGCTTTTGGACCTACCTCTCCTAGGAACCCAACCCCTGATCTCTGTATTCAGAGACCCAGGACCACCTATGGGGTGTCCAAGGTCCACACGGAGCTCATGGGAGAATATTATTATTACCAACATGGGTTGGATTTCTGGTGCTTGAGATATCCTGGAATCATTTCAGCTGACTCCCAGCCTGGAGGAGGAACAACTGACTATGCAGTCCAGATTTTCCACGATGCTATGAAGAATGGCAAATTTGAGTACAACCTGAGGGCTGGCAAGAGGCTCCCCATGATGTATACTGACAACTGCCTCAGGGCCACCCTGGAGGTCATGGAGGCCCCAGCCGAAGCCCTCTCCCCGAGGACCTACAATGTCAACACCATGAGCTTCATGCCCCAGGAGCTGGCCCAGGAGCTTCTCAAGCACATGCCGGAATTCCAGAACACTTACAACATGGATGCTGTCCGACAGGCCATAGCGGACAGTTGGCCAATGAACTCTCATGACAGCAATGCTCAGAAGGACAGGTGGTGGAAACATGATTTTGATCTTCCGGAGCTGGTAACTACGATGTTGAACCTCCACGGTTCTGACACCAGAGTCGCCCAGGCCAACTGAAAGAATCCAATGGAAGAAATCCTAGGTCCTGGATCACCAACAGGGAGCCATCAAGCCCCCAAGGTTATAGATTGTAAGGAAACAATGTTATCCAGAGTCAAACTGATGGGACTAAATTTAGGCAGCTCATGTTGTACTGCTAGATGGGGAGTGGAGTTAGCTTTCAGTCAGTTTAAAATGCCGGTCTGGTGGTAGAACTTTTCACTGCTGTTTGTCTAGACTCGTCCTGAAACACATACCATGAATGAAGACCTAAGTCAGAGTAGTTCCTATATATTTCCTTAATTAAGATGAAAGGACCATTCCTGGAAAGGTAGAAGTTTGTGACATTTGTATTTAATTCAATTCAACTTAAATTTAATTAATATTGCAAAGAGTCCATGGTTCTCTTGACTAGAGAGCAAAGATTATGTTTTAAAGACTTTCAAAGATGTTCTTCAACTTTAAAAGCATTCTTTACAATCTCACCAAAACATACAAAATGATTGGCATATTTTTGTATTTACCATATACAAGAGATTTTAACATTGATTCAGAAATCTTCTAGCTTATTTTTTCTGTAAGAATATGTATTTGTAGGAAGTCGGGAATATCAAAGATGATGTACCTAGTAAAGGGGCCTCTTTGATTGCCCTGCTGAGATTGACTCAGTGGGAGACAGGAACCTCAGGATGCCACTGGCTCCCCTTGCCCCCTTATAGTGCACATACTAAAATCCCTCCTCCACCACCCCCCTCTCAGGATTTTAAGTGCACGCTCATGCACCTGGCACAATTTTCAAGCCACCAGGTCCGGGGCTTAAACCACTGTGTAATTATTTATTTTTCCCCAAGCTGCTAAGTCCAGGATTTGAACCGTGGAGTCAGTCATATGGGATCCAGCTCCCTTAACCTCCACACCACTTGATGATCCCACCACTGGTTATTCTAAAGCAACGATGACCCAGTAGTTGAAACCAATTCCAAACACTATTTTCTAAAGAGCCATTTCTAGTTATATCCTTTTTTAAACATGTTCTCAGACTGAGCTTTGAGAAGAGCTATTCCAAGCCCTCTGGTACAACTACTGTAAAGTCGTTGTATATGCAGACTAATGTCTCCCAGCTACTTTGGTGTCTACTATGTGTGAAGTCACTGGAAAGTGAAACTCCCTGGTCCACGGCTTCATCATGGATATATTGTTAACTGCTGTCAAGAATGAAACGGTGTTTATATTATGAGCTTAATGACAATAAAACGTTATGCATTTGAGGAAAAAAAAAACTCTCTGCCTACCCCAATGCCCCCCAGAGTTTCCCAGTGTTTTCCAGTAGTAATTTTATAGTTTGAGGTCTTAGGTTTAGAGCTTTGATCCGCTTTGAGTTGATTTTTGTTAATGGTAACAGATAGAGGTTCAGATTCATCTTTTTTGCAGGTAGAAACCCAGATTTTCCACCACCATTTGCTAAAGAGGTTTTCCTTTTCCCACTGGATTGACTGGGACCCTCTGTCAAAGATCAGTTGGCTGTATGTTTTGCCTCTTATTTCTGGAGTATCTACTCTGTTCCATTGGTCCTTGTGTCTGTTTTTGTGCCAATACCATGCTGTTTTGATTATCACAGCTATGTAATATATTTTGAGATCAGGAATAGAGATGCCCCCCACTCCACTCTTCTTGTGCAAGATGGCTTTGGCAATATGTGCTCTTTCATTATTCCAGACAAATTCTATGTCTTTTCTAAATCTGTGAATAATGCCTCTTGTAATTTTATAGGAATTGTATTAAATATGTAGATTAACTTGGGTAGGATTGCTATTTTGATTATATCAGTTCTCCCAACCCAAGAACATGGGATGTTCTTCCACTTTTTTGTGTTCTTTTTAATTTCTTTTAAAATATTTTCATAGTTTTTTTTTTTTATAGAGGTCCTTACTTTCTTTGGTTAATTTTATTTCTAGGTATCTTGTGCTTTTTGCAACTATAGTAAATGGGATTACTTTCTTCAGTTCTGTCTCTGTCTGCTTGTTGTTTGTATATAGAAGTGCTACAATTTTTTTTTTTGAGAGGTTTTTCACTATAGGGCGCGTGCGCTCGCCAGAAAGACAGAGAGAGACAGAGAGACAGAAAACGAGAAATCACCCCCCAGAGGGGATGGCCACGCCACAATCCCTTCTCCTCCATTCTCCTCTCGGGATCTTGGGCACGCACGCACAGGCGTCGGGCGTGGGTTTTAAGCCACCGGGTCCGGGACGCGAACCACTGTCGACTACGTGGGAGTCCAGTGACATAGCCATTATGCTAACTGCTGGTTCCTGAAATGCTATAGATTTTTTGTAAGCTAATTTTGTATTCTTCCACTTTACTGTATGCATTTATTACTTCAAAAAGTTTTTTCATGGATACTATTGTGACTTCTATGTATACAATCATGTCATCTGTAAACAGAGATAACGTCAACTCTTTTTTCCCTATTGGAATGCCATTGATTTCATTCTCTTGTCTGATTGCCTTGGCTAGGACTTCCAGTACTATATTGAATAGGAGTGGAGAAAGTGGGCAGCCTTGTCTTGTACCAGTTTTTAGCAGAAAAGCTTTCAGCTTTCCCCCATTCAGTACAATGTTAGCTATAGGTTTTTCATAGATGGCTTTTATTATGCTAAGAAAGGATCTTTCTATGCTGATTTTACTGATAGTCTTAATCATGAAGGAATGTTGTATATTGTCAAATGTTTTTTCTTCATTGAATGAAATTATCATATGGTTTTTATCTTTCTGTTAATATGGTGCTACATTTATGGTTTTGCAAATGTTGAACCACCCTTGCATCCATGGAATAAAGCCTAACTGGTCATGATGAATAATCTTTTTTATATGCTGTTGAATACGGTTAGCAGTATCTTGTTGAGAATTTTTGCATCTATATTCATAAGATATATAGGCCTGCAATTTTACTTTTTGTCATATCCTTACCCATTTCGAGAATGAGGATGATGGAGGTTTCATAGAATGAATTTGAAAGGATTCCTTCCTTTTGGATATCTAGAAACAGTTTGAGTAGAATGGGGATTACCTCTTCTTTAAAAGTTTTGAAAAATTCAGGGGAACCAGCAGTTAGCGTAATGGCTATGTCACTGGACTCCCACATAGTCGACCATGGTTCGCCCGATGGCTTAAAACTCATGCCGGGTGCATGTGCATGCGTGCCCAAGATCCCGAGAGGAGAATGGAGGAGAAGGGATTGTGGCATAACCATCCCCTCCGGGGGGTGATTTCTCGCTTTCTGTCTCTATGTCTCTCTCTGTCTGTCTGGCAAGTGCACACGCCCTATAGCGAAAAAATAAATAAATAAATAAAAAATAAAACAACTCTCCAAAAAAAAAAAAAAGTTTTGTAAAATTCAGCAGTGAAGCCGTTGGGACCTGGGCTTTTCTTTGTTGGGAGGTTATTTATTACTGATTCAATCTCATTGCTTGTTATACATCTATTCAGGCTTTCTATTTCCTCCTGAGTCAATCTTGGTAGAATATACGTGTCCAGGAATTTGTCCACCTCATCTATGTTTTCTTGTTTGTTGCCATATAGTCTCTCATAGTATCCTCTAATGATCTTTTGTATTTTTATTATGTCTGTTGTAATGTTGCCCGATTCATTGTGAATTTGATTATCTGGTTCCTTTCTCTCTTCTTCTTAATTAGTCTAGCTAATGGTGGGTTAATCTTGTTTGACAATAACATGTATGATTAACCCACTATACAGTGCATTCTGGATGGGAAATTGCATCTTGTATGCTGTGATGATGTTCAGTGAATAAATGTAAAATAAATAAAAATAAATTTAAAAAAAAGATAAAAACTGTAAGAAAAGACAAAGAAGGGTATTATCTAGTAGTAAATGGGCTAATTCATCAAGAAGACATAACACTTATAACTATCTATGCACCCAACTCAGGAGCACCCAAATACGTAAAGGAAAGTCTACTAGGTCTAAAAGGAGGGTTTATCTGAAACACACTAATTGTTAGGGATAATCCCAAAAATAGACAAGTGGGATTACATCAGATTAAGAAGTTTCTGCACAGCAAGAGACACAGTAATTAGTGTGAATTACTAATTCTTGGAATGAGTGAATATTATTGCTAACTGTGCCTCAGATAAGGAACTAATAACCAGGATACACAGGGAACTCAAGCAGCGTACTTGTAAAATAAAAAATGATCAACCCAATTAAAAGATAGGGAATTGAACTGAACAAACAACTCTCTAAGGTAGACATATGAACAGCCAAAAAGCACATGAAAAGATGTTCAACACTCCTCACTGTAAAAGGGATGCAGATCAATACCACAACGAGATATCACCTGACCCCGGTCAGAATGGTGAAGATTCTAAAAAAAATGGTAAGTGCTGGTGAGGCTGTGGTGAAAGGAAAGCTCTCCTGAACTGTTGGTGGGAATGTAAATTGGTCCAACCATTGTGGAGAACAACATAGAAATTTCCCAAAGATCTATAACAAGAATTACCATATGATCCAGCAATTCCACTCCTGGGTATCTACCCAAAGGATAGAACACTTAGTCAGAAAAGTGCTAACACATCTATGTTCATTGCAGCATCATTCACTATTGCTAGGACATAGAACCAACCCAAATGTCCACAGATAGATGAGTGGATTGAGGGTGTGTGGCACATGTACTTTATGAACTACTACTCAACCATTAAAAAAAAAGAGATCGTGGCATTTGATAGAAAGTGGATGAATATAGAGGATTTACTACTGAGTGAAGCAAGCCAGGCTATGAAAGAGAGAAATGGTACATCTCCACTTAACATAACAACTATCTGCACTCCATGGTGGAAACTGAAAGACTAGAGGATATAGAAGCATGGAAAATAGTTAAGGATACTGATGACAGTGTGGGAAGAGTATATGTATGGGGGGGGGAGTATGAGGAAAGAAATTAAGGAGAAAAATAGGCAAGACATTTATGGGACACATAAATGGATTATTATCTGTTGATGATA